AGATAAGCAAATTAAAATTATAAATCAATATCTTTTAGTTTATTTATAATCTTATATCAGCTTCTACTAAGATAATTAGTTTAAATAGTTATTAATAATAGACTTTGCTACAATATTTTTACCTTAGAAATTAATTAGACTATCGCTATTTAAGATTGAGAGAGGTTTTGTACTGAGGATGTTGTTTAATTGGTTATTATTAAATAATAAGAATTCTATATGGAATTAGGAGTAAGCTTAAACCTAGATAAAATACTTATAATAGATATAGGATTATGTAAGATAGAATATAATATAAGTATAGGAATAATAGAAAATATAGGTGAATAAGCATTGATAAAAAGTGGATTTTAATATTAAGAACAAGATTATATTAATAATTAAGTACCTTAATAATAGATAATCTAACTAGAAGCTTTTTTATTAGAACTTAGACCCATTTAAGATTATTGTAAAGAAAGGAAATATATTTAAGTTAAAGCTTCTTAAATATTTTTAAATATATCTAGTTTTCTTATTAGATAAATTTTGAAAGGTATACTTAATAGAATTGTTATTAAGATAGATTGAGGATCCTTTATTACTAGTTAAGATTAATGATTATGATAAATGGAAAGTTGAATGGATTCTTGACATATAGATGTATTACTAGAAATTGTAGTATTATATTCAATAGTGAGGCTATAATAATGATATAATATGATACCCAGTAGGAAATTTTAAGAATATGTTAAATATTATGAAGGTATTCTATGATTTTTATCTGGAAAAACCTGGATTATTATTATGTTTGAAGAATTGGCTATATATAGCTGAGAAGGATGAATTCTTATCTGACTATGATAAGGATGATATGTTATTATTGACTTGATATTTAGGGTGAACGTCGCTTAGAATAGGGGGTGATATGATGGCCTAGTATGATTTGGCTTGGTGGTATATGATTACTGTGGAAGTACTTGTGAGCTGTCTCCTGTGGACAAATTACATGCAGGGAAGATGTGGGGCTAGATATGCCTTATGGGGATTACCCTGTGTTTTGATTCATGCTGCAGATTGCTAGAGGATCTATATGATATTAAGAAAGATAAATGGCCTTTGCCAGTCAGTATTCTATATTATTAGAATCTTCTAGAAATCTAGATTACTAGATACTAGTACACAACAGAGATAGCTTATAGATATCTAGAATAGAAGGAAGTATAAGTAAAAGAAAGAGAGCTGGTAATTATTCTTTTTTTTTCTTCTCTCTAGTTTAATCTCTTTATATTTAATAACTAAATAGATTTAATATTATATTGTTATATTAATTAGTGTAATAGTTTAATATGATTTAGCTTGATGGTATATGATTACTATGAAAGTATCTGTAGGCTATCTCTTGTAAATAAATCATATATAGGAAAGATGTGGAGCTAGATATATCTTATAAGGATTATCCTGTGTTTTAATTTATACTATAGATTGCTAGAAGATCTATATAATATTAAGAAGAGTAAATAGCCTTTGTCAACTAATATTCTATATTATTAGAATCTTCTAGAAATCTAGATTACTAGATATTAGCATATAATAAAGATAGCTTATAGGTATCTAGAGTAGAAGGAAGTATAAGTATGAGGAAGGTGGCTAGTAGTTGTTCTTTTCTCTTCTTCTCTCCAGTTTAGTCTCTTCGTGTTTAGCGACCAAATAGATTTGGCATTGCATTGTCACAATTATTAATTATAATTAGTAAAATTATTATTATAATTTACTCTTTTAAATCTAAAGTAACTAGTTTTTAATTCTTTTTTAGCTTTTAATATTAATTTATAAAATAATCTAATTTTCTATAATTAAAATAAGCTTTATTTTTTTTAATTTATCTTTTTCTTTTTTAAATAAAATTATATTTAATTATATTATTATATCTTTATTTTTATTTTTAGTTTATTTCTAATATAAATTTATTTTATTTCTTCTGAATTCTTCTTTTTTTATTTATTAAATATAAATAATTAAATTAATCTAGGATGTTGCTTTTATTATTACTTAAAATATTTCTAATTATAGTATTATTATTAAGATTTATCTTTAATATTATCTTTTAATTTTTTATAAAACTAGTCTTTAAATTCTTAATTATTTTATAAAAATTCTTCTAATATCTATAAAAATTTTAAAATATATTCTTTAACTAAGATCTATTATTTAATATATTAGATCTTATTAATAATTTCAATTTTCTTATTAATAGTTTCTTATAATTAGTTAAGTTTTTCTTTATAGTATTAATAACTAAAAAATATTATAATTATCTTAGGATTTCTTTATTCTTTATTACTATATATATAATACTAATTAATAATATATAAAGTAAACTACTTTATAGCTTTTTTATTAAGGAAACTTGATACTACTAGTATTTTATTAGATTTATTTATAATTTATTTACTATTATATATAAAATAGAGTTATATTTAAGTAAAATATATCTTAAAGATTTTATATTCTTTCTTAAATAAAGTTATTATTTTAATTTTAATTTCTTAAGATACTTAACTTAGTCTTTCTTTATTATTAATTATAGTTTATTCTAATTCTTTAATATATTATAATAGTACTATTATATCTTTATTATTAATAGTTATAATATTTTTATTATTAATATTAATAGTTTATAAATTAAAATTTAGGATTACTAGAACTAGGATTTAAAATATTATTATTATTTATTTTTAAGACTTCTCTTTTAATTAAGGGTCTTAAATTATTAAAAATTTTAATTATTTTATTATTAGGTATAGCTAAGATAGCTATTAATAGATAAAATTAATAAATTTTTAAAATTAAAAGATCTTAATAGATAAAAGAAATAAAAATAAGACTATAAATATTTTAATTAATAGAAGATTATATATTTAAGTTATTATAGTTAATTTAAGATAATAGAAGAAAACTAAATATATAATAAATAAATATTTTTATATAGCTTTTTTTTATTATAATTAATATAATAATAATTCTACTTGTTTTATTCTAATTAATATAGTTAATATAATAACAGCTCTACTAGCTCTATTACCCTAATCTTAAGGCTTTGTGGGTAGTCCTTTGTTCCGATGTGCATTAGTTTTGTAGTGACTAACCTGATCTATTGGCTATGACGTTCTGATTCTCTGACAAAAGAAAGAAAATATATTTAAGTTAAAATTTTTTAAATATTTTTAAATATATCTAATTTTCTTATTAGATAAACTTTAAAAAATATACTTAATAGAACTATTATTAAAATAGATTAAAGATTTTTTACTATTAATTAAGATTAATAATTATAATAAATAAAAAGTTAAATAGATTTTTAATATATAAATATATTACTAGAAATTATAGTATTATATTTAATAATAAGATTATAATAATAATATAATATAATATTTAATAGGAAATTTTAAGAATATACTAAATATTATAGAAATATTTTATAATTTTTATCTAGAAAAATCTAGACTACTATTATATTTAAAAAATTAGTTATATATAGTTAAGAAGGATAAATTTTTATTTAATTATAATAAAAATAATATACTATTATTAACTTAATATTTAAGATAAATATTACTTAGAATAAGAAATAATATAATAACTTAATATAATTTAATTTAATAGTATATAGTTATTATAAAAATATCTATAAACTGTCTTTTATGAATAAATTATATATAGAGAAGATATAAGATTAGATATATTTTATAAGGATTATCTTATATTTAATTTATACTATAGATTATTAGAGAATCTATATAATATTAAGAAAGATAAATAGTCTTTATTAGCTAGTATTCTATATTGTTAGAATTTTTTAGAAATCTAGATTATTAGGTATTAGCATATAATGGAGATAATTTACAGATATCTAGAATAGAAGGAAGTATAAGTAAGAGAAAAAGGGCTGATAGTTATTCTTTCCTCTTCTTCTTCTTTCCAGTTTAGTCTCTTCGTGTTTAGCAACCAAATAGATTTAGCATTACATCGTCACACCTATTAACTTCGCCTGTTAATAGCTATCCTAGCTATACTCGACAGTAATCGAACCGAAGTTTCCGACAGTCTCTTAATTAATTATAGTAATAATAAGATTATTGTATAAGAGCACTACTAGATAAAGATATTTTAATAATTTCTAAAGATAGAGAGCTAATACAGGCACTTAATTAAATTAATAAACCCCCTCTACCAGCTAATCAGAATAAGACTTCACAGATATCTTAATATATACCCTCTAGGTGCAGGAACTACTTCTTACTAGGTCATAAACATAATAAATGCCCTAATCCTCCTATGTAGTAAAATCTATATTTTTTCGTTTTTATATACAATTTGTATGGGTTCAAAAAATGTGGTGGGTCCTAGGTGTTCCGTTTACCCGTGGAATACATCCCCTAGATATTTCTTTGTTTCTTCGCATTAGCGTTATCCATCTATTGGCTGTGACGTTCTTGATCATCTGACACTGCCACCATTTTCGGGCAGGCTTGCATGCATAAAAAAAAGAGCATGCATAAAAAAGAAAAAGAGAAAAAAAGAAAAAAAAACAAATCATCGTCTACTTTAGAGGGGTCTCTATTCCGCCGTTTTGTTCCGTCTTAATGGTTTTACCTTGATGTATTAACTAAAGAACGATTAAGTCACCATAATGAGGTCTAGGGTTTGTGATCGGGGGGGCTGGACTGGCTAAGCTGACTGCATCCTTCAAATAGGTGTATCTCTCGCTAGGCATTGGTTAAGGCCCAGTTATAATAGGAATCTGCTTATGCGTCAATCCTCGTGTGTTTACCTAGAGTAGTCCGGATGGAATTTCGACTAGAATGGATAGTTGAGGGCTGACAAACGCGTCTTGCTTGCTTTTTCCAACTAGACGCGCCAAAATCTAGTAGTATATGATATACCCACGAGGTCTGTCTAGTTTTGATCTCCATTCGAAGGAGATACATTTGCGAACTCTTAGATTCCTCGCTTCAATGGTGGAAATCAAGTACCGTGCCTCGTGTGATAGCTGCCTGCGCTCCAAGGTCAAGTGTAGCCAGACAAAACCGGCCTGTTCACGTTGCACTCAACATGGTCACCAGTGTGTCTATAGTCAGTACCGTAAGATCGGTCGTCCATCGCACAAGACACTGGCGGAACAAAGGAAACGCAAGAAACCTAATCTGCATCAACAGTCGCCCGTCGTCGCACAACCAGACGACTCCACGGTTCAAGATTGTGTTCATCTGGACGCCATTCCAGCTCTTGACCCGGGGGATACGACTGCTGCCAGTTCCGACGTCTTCGATATCCACGCAGAAATCTCATTGCCCTGCGATTCTTCGGTATTTAACATGTCGGCCTCCGAACAGCTGGACTGGACGGATCTGGATAACTTGCTCAAATCATCAACGACGCTTCAACCCCCGGAGGATGCTATGTCAATTAGCCTCTCAAATGATGATCATTGCTCCCCTCAAGCCGGTATCGGTAACTTCACTGGCAACATTCCACAATCGCCAAGAGCTGTTCTAGAAAATAGCCAACTGCAACAGTCGGAACCGTTTGCCCGTCGTCGAATACCCTCTACACCGCGGGATCGTGTGCTTCCGAATCGCCACCACTCCGATTTTTCAGAGAGCGTCCTCTCAATTCATCAGGCTCGGTCGTCCGAGTATCATCAGATGTTACTAACCCGAACTCCAACATCCAAGAAATCCTCGCTTTCTATATTCCGACCGAATAATTTCCCCGCCTATCCCTCCTCGTTTGACACCCGTTGTACCCTGCAGTGTCACGCCAGTCTCGCCAACCAGCTTGCTTATATTACAGAATGCCAGGCCAGCAAATCGGAGCTTGCCTTCGATACCCTTCTTAATCTCGATGACAACATTTGTATGGAGCGGATTCGAATACTGTCTTGTCCATCTTGTATGGAGAAGTCTTGCCGCGCCCAAACACTCATGCTCCTTACCATGGTAGTGGGGAATCTTCTCAATCTCTTCGAGAACAATATTGGCAGCCGAAACAACAGTGAGAGAGGGAGCAGGGACACCGGCAACAGCAACAAACCCTCCCCATTTCTTTATACGCCGCGGTCGCTGACCATCGGCGACATCACGGTCGATGACACAATTAAAGCAGCATTATCGCTACGCCTTTTGCGCACATATCTCGAAGAGCAAGTGGAGACCGTGACACATCTTGATCATCTGCGCCTCGAGGCTGAGGATAAGGATGTTGGTTTCAAAGTCACAGGAGACTTAGTGGGAGATGTACGTCGGAGGGCGAGATATCTTCTTGGAATCGTGGTCTTTGCCCATGGGACCGACCCGGTTTCTGTTACTCGGGTCGTAGCGCTGGATTCGAACTCGCAAAATTGATGGTATCATGATAAAATGTGATGCCGCACATATGGCTTGCAGCTACCATGCCAACTACTGCGCTATCTTTCCCAGCGTTTCATTATCGAGTGCTTAGTAAAGCAACCGACGAGACGGCCAATTAAGGAAGGATGTTGATGAAGGTTGCTGTATCGTCGACATTATAGCCAATAGAATATATTTTAAGGACTGCGTTTCCCTAACCGAGACACAGTTCAAACCGACTATATATATAACCTTTTGTATACATTGTAGGTGATGAGTGTACAAAATCGATGATTCAAGAATCCATGCTCATTTGAGCACATGCAAAATCATACGCAGCCTCGATTGCCAACCAACCAACCCCAAGCGGATCTTCCCTGGGAAATAAATCAAAAGCATGGCCACATTGATCAGCGACGATGATGCCACAGGGTACACCCTTTTCCTTCAAAGTCGCAATGGTCTTCTCACTCATACTACACGGAATCCAATCATCATTATTGCCGTGCACCATAAACGTCGGAGTTGTATAGGTACCCTCAAGAATGTGCCAGTATGGACTGCACTCTCGAATCTTTTGGATCGGTGGTGGAGGTAGATTTTTCCAGTCAGTTGTGTCGTCCGCGGCGACTTTGCTCTTGTGTGGGAGGCCGCGGACAAGGACGTTGACAGACTGGCCTGTCCAATTCATGTGAAGGATGAGCCGGGCGCGGTCGTCTTTCAATGTTAATGAAAGACCAGTGGCTTTTTTGTCGCTCATTGGTGTATATGCGACAATCGGCTCTGGAAGCACACAGTCAAGTTCACCCCATATCTTGCACGGCGGTTCTTCTGCTGCCGCCGGATATATAGGCTTGCTCCAGACTATTAACAGTTTAGTCGCGAGATCCAACAATAACAGAAACAAGTAGAAAAAGAACTTACACTCAGCTTCCAGATCGCTCGGGGAGTAAAATGGTAGAATCACATCTGGCGGCTTGATTCCCCGGAACTTGGCCATATATCCCAATGTCATCGCCAGTTGACCTCCACTTGACCAGCCCATGGCAAGCAATTTGGTAGGATGTACCTGGACTTTGGGGCCGGAAAGATGGAGCAATGGCAAGGTCTCTCTAGCCCACTTTAGAGCATCGCAGCAGTCTGTCACTGGACCATCGAAGAGACTGAGCTCAGGACAGAATCGGTAGTCGACGCTAACGGGGAGGAAGCCACGCTGCAAAAGAACACGAACGTGCTTCATTGGGATGTCTTGACGGCTATAGAGAAGATGGCCACCACCGTGGATCATTAGGGCTGTTGTTCCGTTAGCGCACTGCCGCAATGCGTAGAAGAAGACTTACCAATTCGTCTTTGTTTGCCAGGACTGTCCGGTATTTTAGGATAGTACACGTCGGCTTGTAGTTCTACACTGCCTTCCTTTTTCCAAGTGAATGTCTCTGTTGGTATGCCGGCCCTCTTGACGATATTTTTGGCCAGGGGTTTGAACGACTCTCTCTCTGCGGGGGTTTTAAACCCACAGATTACTCGCATTGTCTGCGATTCGCTCGTACTCCCATCTGTCCAAGTGACATGCTGAAAGCCGGCCGTCCGTAACGCATTGTCCCAGAACCATTGGTCAGCAAGAGCATGTTGACGACCGTCCTCGAAAAGCCACCATCCCTCCAAAAGACCGTAGACAAGATCAAACCAGTAGACACCCTTCGTGAATTCAACCAAACAGAAGAAACCATCTGCATGAAGTAGAGGTGCGATATTCGTACAAGCAGACGTTGCGCTTCTTGTTGCGTGTATACAGTTGGTCGCAACAACGACGTCAAATTTGTTATGTAGCTGCTGCGGTGGTGCACGATCACAATCCAAAGTCATGAACTTCATCTGGTCATAACCAGCGAAGAATTTTTGCGCTTGTGATACCAATCCAGAGGAGATATCCGTGAAGGTGTATTCGAATTTGATGTCCTTGCTGATCAGAAACTCTACAAGATATCTGGCTGTTCCACCAGTGCCTGCGCCGACTTCGAGGATTTGGAAGACTTTATCTGACTTGAGCGCAGAAAAAGTCTGCACTAGGAAGTCTGCTAGTAGTCGAGTTGAAGCTTGACACATGGGTGCATTTGCATAGACATCTGCCATAATGCCTTTATTTACTCGGTTGGCGAAGAGCAGCGCCCGAGGATCTTCTTTGCCCGTCAAAGTTTTGACCAGCTGTGAGGCAGACACATTTAGTAGACGGTGCTCAGAGGCATGCAGAGGGTGTTTCTGCAAGATTTCTTCAAATAGCACAGACGCCGGGGTGGGATCAATCGGTTGTGCGGTCCTCACATGTGTACCATCGCTTTCAAGTTGTAGGAGCCCACCATCAACCAAAATCTTACGGAACTGACGCATCAAGTGGCCATACTTGGGAAGAAAATTGACATATGGTAATTGCTGTCCATTTGCAAGGCTAGCCATGTCGCATCCCAAATCGCGGAAGGTCTCAACGATATATGCTTCAACCAGTTTCTTTTGGTTAGGGTAGACATACTTCCAGAAATTGTGGAATCCAGTCTGCTCCGAATACTTGTCGAAATCAAACCGTAGGCTGTCAAACACCTGCTGGGCAACTATTAGTTCATTGTTAGAAGACTGATCATAGTTCGTAACGGCCCTCAGCGAATCAATAGTCTCAGCGGGTTTGGAAACAGATGGGGCAGCCTGCCCGATAATGTTGCTCTGGAGGTTAGACACAGATCCAGACAACTTGTCACCATTGGCGTACTGACAGGTTGAAGGAGTCTGGATAGGACTTGTGTCAGCTGTGGTTATCGATGAACTGATGGAAAGACTATCGGAGGGCGTTGAACCGTCAGCATCACCTTCCTCGCTACCAGTACCTCGACAGCCCCGTCCATGCAGATAGTCGATGAGTGAATTGAAATCGGTGAGTTGTTCGAGATCGTCAATTGGCAACTCGGTCTTGTAGAAAGTCGAGATCTCTCCAATGACCTCGATCATCATTAACGAGTCTACTCCGAGATCATCAAAGGATGCAGTGCCCCGAACTTCGTTTGCGGGAACGTCTGCGATTTTCTCCATGATAATGCAGATATCATCGTGAATGGCGGTTTTAGCATCCTTGACTAGCCGAATTTGCTTGACTGGCTTCGGCACCTGGGCTGTGGGAACTGGAAGGGCATTGTGAAACTGGCTTCGCTGTGGTTGCTCAGCAAGGAGCCCCATCTGTATAGAATCAATCTTGTGGATGGTGCTTGCTCGACTGTCGTCTGCACGCGAAAGTGAATCAATCAATGACGAACGAGAAATGCTAATAAATCGTGCACCTAGCAAGAGAAGTGCCAGCCGCCCTGTGGCAGCATTATAAACAAAGATATCATGTGCAAGCTCCCTAGACGATGTCGAGACGGCCGGGAGACAAAGTACGTCCCAAACACGAATGCTGTCTTGATATTCTGGTCCGAACTGTACACGTTCGACGTTAGACAGCCAAAATAGCTCTTTGTCGGAGGAGTGTTGAATGCTGTTGGTGTGCAGATCAGCGACCTGTATAAAATTGTCCAAAATACAAGGCTGAGTAATTGAGCCCTTGCAGCTGTCCGGAACTCGCTTTGGTGATAAGACCTTCCCGACCACCTGGCCATCACTAAAAGCCACGCTCTTCACATTTCGGAAGAAATCGGCATATTCGGTGGTCTGCGAGAAGACCTTGTAAACCATGGACCCCTGGATGGATGTGGCATCGTCATCATCACAATCAAAAGCAGCCGCAAATCGATCCTTGGTAATTAGGCGCTCATAGCGGGAAAACTCATTGCTAAGAGTGTTGCTTTGAGCCTGAAGAGAAACAGTTCCTGTGACGTGGCAAACCTGTGTTATTTTTTTTAAGTCACTAGACAAAGGTTTGCTAGTGATCCTAAAGCTATACGAAGCACCAAATGGCTGAAGATCAAGGCGGATTGCTCTGTCTGTGGCTAGACCAAGCGGGGATTGTATGTGCAGATTATTAACTGCAAGAAGCATGTCAGATATTTTTTCTTCTACTAGCGTGGCAGCTCTCGATGCGAGCTCTATGTAGACGGATAGAGGACATTCCGGCTGGCCGAGCAGAAGATGCCCTTTAACAAGAGCCAAGTATTCATCACTCCTGGAGCCTATTTCAAAGTGGTGCCCCTCTGAGTCACTGCTAGTAAGGCGAATTAGTACTTTTGGGGCCAATATTTGCGCAGGGACTCCAGGGACGGGTGGTGCAGATTGCAGCGCCAACCAGTGCTTTGGCTTGTCGAACTCATACGATGGAAGTCGCAGGAAGTCGTACTTCAAGCCATTCGAATTATGGAAATTCCAGAATTGAACCTGATGTCCACGCTTCCAGAGATTAACTGTCGTCTCTGCCAGATTATCCAGCGATGTTGGCTTGTTCAACTCCATTGGAATGAAGTTGCACGACACACCAATGGATGGATCTAGGGCTCGACGGACCATCGATACGATGCTAGAGCTAGATCCCGCTTCAAGGAATGTGCAAACCCCAACCCTGGCCTGAATGCGCCGGACCGCTTGTGTAAAGAAGACAGGGTCTCTTGTATGGGCTGCGACGAGTTGCGCAGTTGGCTGTGTCCAACTCGACGCCGAGGTGCAAGTTTCGATAGGGATCTTGGCTCGGTGGAAGGTAAGAGCCGAAGCCAAACTCTCTAGGTAAGGAATTATAGGCTCGGTGAAGCGAGAGTGGAAACCATGGGTTACGCTTAGTCTCTTGTGGCGGATAGAACGCTTAACAAGCTCTGCCTCCAAATGGTCGGCCGAAGCTTCATCACTGACGACCACGTGGGATGTTGGGCCGTTATAGCATGCGATCTCAAATATATGGTCTGGGCTTGAGGTACTTAGGTAGGATGTGATGCTCTCAATTGTGGTCTGATCTGCCTCGACCGCGATCATACTGCCAGGCTCAGAACCCCAGTATTTTTGCATGAGTGCTGCTCTCCCAGCAACCAGTTTCAGGCCATCCCGAAGAGACAAGGTACCAGACACGCAAAGGGCCGCGAATTGCCCAAGACTGTGGCCTACAACACCATCGACTCTCAATCCTGACTCGAGCCATGCTTGTGCAGATGCATATTGTGTCGAGAAAATAGCTGACTGCAGGGCGACAATGTCTTTGACAGGCTCTTTCTGGAAGATCGTTGGATAAATACTGGGATAGCCCAATGTGCAAAGAGCTGTGTTGCAACGATCTAGATAGGAACGGAACAATGGGGATTGCTTCCATAGATGCTTGCTGAGACCAACTGATTCACCAACTTGACCACCAAAACAGAGAATGACAGGGGGTTCTTTGAGTCGCTGTTGAATGGCCTCCGCCGACATCAATTGCCGTCTTAGCTCGGCTTGCAGCTGGTCTATATCTGTTACCGTCATGACAAGCATGTGAGAGAGCTCTTGATTCTGTCGTTTGGCGAGGCTGAAGGCAACATCACGAAGCAGCTTAGCCTTTTCCTTCGCATTGAGCGTTGACACAGTCTTGCCACAGAAGCCTTCAAGCAGCTGACAGTAATTGATTAGGCTTGTTGTGGATGCTGCAGATATATGGATAGGTAATTTAGAAAGCAATGCGTCATCCTCGGTCTGTGCCATATGTTGCTTGTTCTTACGAGGGGCCTCAATTAGCATCATGGCTGTATTGCTGCCAGCAGCGCCGTAGTTATTGATACACGCTGTGATTAGATCCCCCGAAAGTGGGCAGTTTGACGTCGGAATACAGAGCTTATCGGCCTCGAGTGAAGGGATTTTCGGATTAAGTGTCTTAAATGAGGCTTGGACACACGCGGTGCGGTATTCCATCTGCAAGATGACTTTGATTAGGGCAGCAACCCCCGAAGCCCCCTCAAGGTGACCAATATTGCCCTTGACTGAAGAGACAATCAGAGGAGCTTTCCTGCCAGGTCCGCCAAAAACCTTGCGGATACTCTCCATTTCGATGGGATCGCCAACTGGTGTCCCTGTTCCATGCGCCTCAACAAAGGTGACCTCTTGAGGAGAGACACCAGCTCGCTTGCTCACTCTTTCTAACAGGTTGGACTGAGATGGTGAATGAGGCACGGTAATAGAAACGCAGTTGGCATTCTGGTTGATGGCTGATCCAGCAATGACACCGAGGATGTTATCACCGTCCGCCAGCGCATTGGACAGCTTCTTCAACACAACCAAGCCAAGACCTTCTCCACGGCAATATCCGTCTGCACTAGCATCAAACGGCTTCGTCGCGCCGGTGGGGCTGAGGAAGTGTGCGGCTGCCAGATTCTCGTACAAATATGGTGTGGTGAAGAGAGCGACACCGCCAGCAACGGCCTGGGAGCACTCCCCCATTTCCAGTGCAGTGCACGCCGAATGAATAGCCACTGCAGAGGAAGAGCAGGCTGTATCAAACGTAATAGATGGACCGGACCAGCCAAAGTAATGCGATAGCTTGCCAGACTGAAAAGCCCTCAGCGTACCAGTAGTCGCATATGCTGTGGGCGGATGGGATCCGACATTGCCGTCATAATCAACGGCGCAGCCACCAATATAACAGCCAATGTCACGAGGTCTGGAAGGATCTGAAAAGTACCCAGACGATTCCATGGCCTGGTAGGTGAGCTGGAGTAAGATGCGCTGCTGTGGATCCATCGAGGCCGCCTCTCTTGAAGATGTTTTAAAAAACCTGTGGTCAAATGACTGGATATGTCTCACAAAGTTGCCATGATATCTCAGACCACGGACAGCGCGAGGGAGATCCTTCAAATCGAAGCGGTCTTTTGGCATCTGCTCCAACATTGACTTGCCCTCAGTCAAGAGACTCCAGAACTCATCGATGGAATCGGCGCCAGGGAACTTGCAGGACATACCAATGACTGCAACGGCATGTTCTGGATATTTACCATCGGTGCCATTCTCTTGAGGAGGTAATATCCCAGAAATTGAAGTATCACAGTAATGATCCACTTTAGATGTCAGCATCGCCCGGGTCTTCACCACTGAAAATCGTCTCGCTACGGATTGTGGAATGGCATCAGCACCGATGGACAGAATAAAAGAATTTCCGGGGTCATCAAACAAAGCGGGCGTAGCTGTACAAATGGTGTGGTACCAATCTGCTTGAACTGTCAGGATCGAATGCAGAGCCACCCAGACGGCTTCTTCGTGTGGAATGATTTCCCCGTTTGCATTCGACCGGACAAGCTTCTGGTCTCCGAACCGAGGGTTGATGCGTCCTTGACATGCATTTAATATCTTTGTTTCTGCCTCTGTGTGAATATTCACATGGTATCTCCCACTGATACCAGTGTCCAGCACAGACACCCCATGGGTTGATAGACCCTGTTGCAGTGCCGTTATTGAAGTTGGAGTCGTCACAGTGATATCGTAGGCATCTCGAATAACAGCGACGTATGTCTACCTAGTGTCAAAACAGGCAATTACGAGAGAAATTCAAACTGGGAAATTTAGAAGATAAGAACTGACCTCAGGATACTTAAGCAAGTCATTGCAGATGTCGTCCAGAGTTGCCGGTGCTTTCCATCGCATCGCGAAGTTCGAATATCGAGTATGGCCACCACCGTTAGCCTGATCCATATCTACATACGCACCAATACAATAGGCTAACTGCACTGCAGTTGAAGCCATTTCGACAACTTCTTCTTCGGTAGATCCACTGGCAACAGCCAGAGCGCTCAAAAGACCAGCACAGAAGCCTTGAACTCCTCCTTCACCAGTGACATTCCTCAATATCGCGTTGTGGTCGACAGAGCCGTCAGATTGGCCGAGGTAGCTGAGATATTGTACAATTTGAGTGACAATTGTCATTGGCATTGTAATGATGTTTCGCTTTTCTTCCGGTGTCGGCATTTCGGCAGTTCCAGTAACAATTGCTGCTAGTTCATCTGCAGCATGACTGCCGTTTAGCGCTTCTAATGCTGAGTCTTGCTCTACTAATGCTTGCCATAGCAATGCAAGGTCATAGATAGCCGTGATTATGGGTTCGTAGAGGTGGCTTTGCCGTAGTTCTAACCGGAGCTGCTGTAGATGATTTCGAGACGGCCATGGCGCCAATGGGCCGAAAGCGATGAGAAATGGCAGTGCAGTCATTACGGTGATTTCATAAAGATAGCTTGAGGAGTACGGTAGCTGTATAAAATAATGCTAGTGGTGTTGAAACACTTGGTATTTTGGTGTATAGGATTATGCACGGGCAATGATCATGTTGTGAGTAACAACGAACAACAATATCGTACAATATGCAAAGCAGACCTATCTCGAATTCAAATGAGCGCAAGTAATGCTAGGGGAAAAATCACTAGATGATACTGTCTGGCTAAGTCGTAAGATAATCATTTCCTTTAGACCTTAGTTCGGCTACTTTGAGGGCATTCGGGCTTTTTTCTTATAACCAGCCGAGCTGCTACTGAACGATCGATTCTCGGTAAATATTCGTCGAAGATCATTTCAAAACCAAAGAGAAGACGAATTAGCGTTGTCCCTTGTGCGAACTGAATCCAACAGCGTCACATCCTACAACAACAAGACACGAAGCAGAAAGCGATTTCCCATTCCGCAATGGCATCGGAACTGACATCAAAAAGAACCTCGCAGTCGCTGGTATGGACCGTTTGTGCATATCGTAAACCAACCATGTCCGAAGACGAATTTCATCGGTATATGAGCGAAAAACATGCGCCTTTAGTGCGGGATGCCCTGGCGCGGCATGGTATCACTAGATACACCATGGTGCGTTTTCAACAATGATGCACAAATCCAGGTCAATATCCATTTGAGGAACCAGCACTAAAATCCATAGGGGAAATAGACACATTTTACTTCTGCCACGGTAGCTTTGATGGACCAAGTAATGGACGAGCAGTTCATTAACGATGTCGGGTACGACATGATTACCCAAATCAGGTTTCCTGACATCCAATGCTTTGTCAATTTCCGCAATGATCCGCATTACAAAGAGCGTGTTATGGCTGACCATGATGTATTCACTGATCCGGAAAGGGTACAGTACGTGTTTCCTGTTGCTAATCGCGAAGGTGTGGGAGGTTTTATGTGCTGACAAGGGTGTAGTATGTCTGTTGGGTGGGTTGAAGATCACATTGTGGATGGAGTAGTCGTTTTGAACAAAAATACCGTTTCAACTATATAGAATAGGATAACACCAGGTCGGGGGTGGATCTCGCCGAAGCTTGAAGATACTAGTTGACAGAGTATGCGTCGAACTAGGTGCCATTATTATGGCGACATGCTATAAAACACTAGCGCTTGATTAGATAAAGTTTCTATGCCTGTAAGCAGCTAATAATCTTATAGAAACTAATCTGTATATTGATCCATCCCTATGCCTAAAAGGGAAAGGCCTACGATATGTTACGAAACCAACCGATGCCTATTCTGGCCAATTAGGTGCACCTCTGTGAAATACGGTGTTGGTGGTGGATTACATGCTGTATTCGGAATAGCGGTCATAATCCGCTGTCAAGATAGGCTTGTAGAAATATGCAGGAGCTAGGACTAATTAGGTATAGTCATTATAGTCTATTATAGTACAGCTATAATCAATATAATGCAGGAAATATAGACATCAGAGAATATCTATAATGACTATAATAAAGGATAACTATATAACAAACATAACACCTTCCCTGAACTGTACTAGCTTGAACTAGTGTCACGCATGTTGGTTTCGTAACATCCCTGGTGGCGCGCTGAAAGGGTACTATTAGTACTACTACAGGGATATTCCGTGTAACATGAGAGGTTTTAGAAACAACCCATTCAAACACTGCAAACGTCCTCTGCTGCGTCGCTTTCCGTTTGTTGCTTTTCTTTGTCTTCTCCCTTGCCTCCCTCTCATGATCTAGTAACTAGTTATACTGTTTCACTCCGTTTTTTGCTTAGACATGTCATCGTTTCTCAGGGCCCACAGGGTCAGGCCTGCTTATACCTGTATCCTCAAACCTTCATTTTCCCGTTCATTAACAACCACGCAGCGCTCCATGGAGGACACTTTTAGAGCGGCGTGCAAGAACAAGATCATTCCGGGAGCTGTTCTTTTGGCTACAGATAAGAGCGGTAATCAACCCTATCCATCGATTCGCCTTTGCTGATCAAGATTATGCCATTTCTAGGAACATTCAACTACAGCAACGTGTTTGGTGCCCGCTCCTTGGAGCATCCGAGGAGTGAGCCGTTGTCTGTGGATGCAACTATGTGGATTGCTTCGTGCACCAAGTTATTTACAAGCATTGCTATTTTGCAGTGTGTTGAGCGTGGACTTTTTACACTAGATGAGGATGTCAGACACGTGTTGACGGAGCTTAATGATATCGACGTACTCACCGGCATCAATGGCTCTGCCATTGAATCGAAGAAAAATAGTCTACCCATCACATTGAGGTATGGCAGTGTGCTGACAGTCCCATCAAAGAAGTCATCATTAAATAGTATGAAGACAGCTTCTCTCGCACACCTCCGGATTTGCCTATGAGTTCAACTCTCCCCTATTACAGCAGTGGCGCAAATTACAGCCACAATACAATAGGCGTCCGCCCATAAGTGTTCATAACCGATTCTTGCATCCGCTTCTCTACGATCCTGGTAGATAAATCCATTTTCTTCCCCCGCCCACCCCTCCCCCAACACCCTTTCTTTCTCTCTTTCTCGCTTTTCCTTCTTTTGGCATCTTTCTTCTGGATTCTTTCATATCAGCTAACGGCTTATAGGGAGCAGCTGGTCTTATGGTCCGTCTATTGACTGGGCTGGCGTGCTCATAGAGCGGCTTACTGGTCTCAGCCTCCAGGATTATATGGCCCAGAATATCTGGCAACCCCTCGGGATTACTGATATGACCTTTTTCCTCTCTGGTCGAGATGACCTACGGGCTCGCGTGGCATCAATGTCCAAACGTGAACCATATGAAACTAGCGACAATCCCACAGCTAAGTCGACCTCGGTCCACGCCCCCGAATACCAGTATTGTTTCAACCCTGATATGGCGGACTGCCAGGGCGGTGGAGGAGTTTTCGGCTCGCCTGTGGAATATATCAAAGTCTTACGTGCGCTGCTTCTCGCGTCTGACGCGCCGGATGTCCGACCGGTACCCCCTAAACAACTACTACACCGGTCAAGTGTCGATGCGATGTTCACACCTCAGCTTGGGGGTGAAAGTCAAAAGGCTCTCCAGGCTGTCGCCGAAATTCCCCGGTACAACTACATGATGGGCGGAATGCCACCTGATACCCGTAAAGATTGGGGACTTGGAGGGCTGCTTGTCATGGATGATATAGCAGGCTGGCGAAGCAAAGGCACGATGACATGGGGTGGCACTCCCAACCTGACCTGGGTGAGTTTATTCGAGTAATGATCTCTCTGAGACAATGTACTCATATGTGCAGTGGATTGACCGCAAGGTCGGACTTTGTGGATTATATGCAAGCCAGCTAATGCCCATTGGCGATGCTAAATCTGTAGAGCTGGAAAAGGTATTTGAAAAGGCCATGTATGAACGGTACCGACAGCATGTGGCGGACCAGAATGATTGCACCGATTAGCGCCCAGGAGCTGTCTTTGGGGAAAAAAGTATTTCTATTCGTACAATAGACGGTCTTCAGTTATTACCTTAAATCTGGTTTTACTGCAAACTAGTAGACAGACCCAACAACCTCATCACCCTCATGAATATCTCATCTACCTTTCCGTCTTGTCTTGGCATGTGCTGCAGCACTGCTCCTAAATTCTTCAACGTCCGCCCAACCATGTCCAATGCCAATTGTTTGCTCTGCTGTTCACTGAGTGTAAAATTGCCCAGTGCCATAACCGACGGCAGGCACACAACATCCATGGCCGGTTGTTCTCGCCGTTGGACCACCAAAAACGAATTCGTTCGATGTCCGACCAAATCCAGATTTGGATCTCTCACCTTAGTCGGAACACAGTCTTCCGGACCGGTATAGGTGAGGATAGCAGCCTCCAGTAAGTCGACTATTCTCCCAAATAACAGTACCAACATTCCGTGTACCCTTCCTCCTTTGTCAAAGAACGCACAGGATGCACATTCCCGTGACTCAACTGAGATATCGACCACCTGTGTACTGGCGGTGATAATCAGGTTGAATGGAACATGACTCATGACACTGATCTGTTTCCATAATGCAGATACTTCTTCATTGCAGGAACAGGGCGTTGGGGAAGCCGATAAAGAGGTGCTTTGAGGGGCACGGACGGAGGGAGCGCGAGGAGACAACATTTTCTTGTGAAGACGCTAATAGGCAGTTTAATCTCAGTGGGCTGGTAATGATTCTGAGTCGGCTGTAATATAGAATATTCTAGGTATGCAAATTCTAGAAGTCGTCGATACGAAGCCCCTCAAAAAGCAGCCGATCAAACATAAAATTAGCCGAGCTGGCTTTAGGTGTAGTTGTATGCAGTATCTTCAGTGCTTACAGTCCATAAATAACTGTTATAGATACCTGGCTGTGCTCGCTGTATTCTGTACAATATAGGTCTTATATATATCTCATATACCTAGGCATACATGCGTGTATATGATGTCCTATGCATGAAATGGATATTTCCATTCCTATCCAGGGACCTCCGTTCGACCTTACTCTGTCGCACTGGGATCGACTCTTCCCTCCAACGCATTCCAGACGAGTTCTCTGTTTCCGTCTGACCCCAGATGCTGATAAATACCAAATAGTCAATTGGCTACACATTGCCCTGCATCATACAGTGCAGCGTGTCCCTTTCCTCGCCGGCTCCATCGTCCCTTTCAGTTCAGAAGAAGACAACCGGCCGTGGCTGCGCAATCTCTCTCCCAACGGGTCTGCATATCTAGATGTCAAGGACCTCTCTGGCGAGCTAAACTATGACAAGCTAGCCGCGACAAACTTCGACCCGTCACTTCTCGACGCGGATAAGCTGTGCTCGCTGCCAAGAGTCGCGTATGTGCAGGACGACCCGGTCGACGTTTGTCGCTTCCGGGCAAACTTTATAGATGGCGGGCTTTTACTGGTTGTATCTATTATACATATCGTTGCCGACGGGAGAGGTGTGTCGGAGATAATCAGGATGTTTGCGAGTAATCTTCGCAAAGCGCAGGCTGGAAAACTTGGTCATCCCTTGGAAAGATCTACGTCGACCTATATCTCTGATCGAACGCTTCTGGTAACGGGAAATATTATTTCAGGCAACATCGACAGACACGCTGCATGGACGGCGTCAAATTTCAACGCACACGCCAACATTGCCGACGTCGAGACGTCCTGCCGCACATTCCGCATCAGTGTCCAGGCCTTGTCGACCTTGAAAAAGACTGCTACTGCGACATCAGACGGAGCTGATGACTGGGTCTCTACGGGCGATGCGATCGCAGGCCTGATATGGCGCAGTATTATGACCGCTCGGCATCGGGCTGGGCTTTTGGCAAGGGATGCGACAACACACCTCACCCAGCCTGTAGACTGTCGCTCTCATCTGCGCCTTCCAGAGCCCTACTTCGGAAACACTCTCTACATGACTAAAGCCTCAGTGCCGTTTTCGATATTCAAAGACCCTGAAATCGGTCTCTGCAAGGCAGCTCGTATGGTAAGGGCCGATATCCAGGCTGTGACCGCAGATGAATTCAGAGATTTGGTGGGCTATGCCGAGCGAACTGAGAAAGAATCTCATACACGGTTGGGCATCATTGAAGATTTGCCTACAGGGGGTCTTATTTTAACAACTCACTTCAAGTTCGCAATGCACCAGATCGATTTTGGTCCTGCGTTTGGCGACGGCCATATCAGTGCGTTCCGCGTGCCTGCTAAAGGCAGCATGGCTGGAGCCGTGTATGTGCTGCCCCAATTGCCCGATGGCAGTTGCGAGTTTGTAGTCACAGAGAGTATGTCGACGCTGAAATATCTCTTGGAGGATGAATTCTTTGCTCGATTTGCAGCTGAGGCCACCCAGGCTCTGGATACGAACGTAAATCTCGTCCTTCCGGAAAGGAATCTTCGTCCAGCAGCACTGCCCCATAATATCTTCAATTCTGGTAACACCAAGACCCTCTCAACCATGCTAGTAAGCACTATACCAGCGCCTCACGGCGGAACAATACAGATCATTCAACTCGCGCGAGGTAGCGCAAAGAATGCCATCTCGCCCCAGCTTCTGCACGAACTCAACAGAGAAATCGAGTCTATCTACGACGAATCGAAAACCAACTCAACCCGGGCACTCATCATAGCCAGCGCCGTCGATGATGTCTTTTGCGCGGGGGCGGATCTGAAAGAGCGCCAGGCCATGACCCTGAAAGAAACGCACCTCTTCCTCGCCTCCCTCCGATCAGCTTTCAGCCGTCTCTCCCATCTTCCCATCCCATCCATCGCCTGCCTGTCAGGCATGGCGCTAGGCGGTGGTCTCGAACTCGCCCTTTGCTGCCAACTCCGCGTATTCTCCCCCAATGCCACCGTTGGCTTGCCCGAGACCCGCCTCGCCATTATCCCCGGGGCAGGCGGCACATACAGACTACCGGCTCTAGTTGGTCTATCACATGCCCACGACCTCATTCTCACAGGCCGCAAAGTCCCTGCCCAGGAAGCGGCCGGCATGGGCTTGTGCAACCGGCTGGTAGCTACTGATCCAAATGATTCTCGAGAAACAGAACGGTTACTTACTCTCGATGCAGGTATTGAGCTTGCGCAGGAGATTACCAAGGGCGGGCCTGATGCAGTACGACAAGCTGTGCGGGCACTCCAGCGAACTAGTGAAGCTGCCGAAATCGCCGCCCACAGTTCTCTTCTACGATCAACTCAGTATATAGAGGCGCTGCAGGCGTTTAAGGAAAAACGATTACCAGTGTTTAGGGTTGAATCTCAACCCGAGAAGGCTCGGTTGCCAGCAACTGGTTGGAATCACATGGTCCGGTCTATGGAGAAGTATCAGAGTGTTATGTCAATTTCTTTGCTTACTTGCTTCACTATGGGAATGGGAGTGATGTTTTATCGTCAAGCTGTATGTTTACGTGTTTAAATACAAACGTGACGGTTTATTTGTGTAGCATTGCTTGTTGCTTCTGGTTGCTAGGGGTTAAAACCATTTTGTTCCTGCGATTTGAATTTCCAACGGTAGTTGTGTACTTTCATGCTACAAACACATCCCCCCCCACAGAGATATTATTTAATGGTATAACACAGAGAGTTAGCACTGGCACAGTAGCATCATGTACGTCGGCAACTTTGAAACAACCGAAAGTGGCCGTCAAAAGACATAAAAGTCCCTCAGGAGAACCATTTCAGCTCGGCTCATCACATCACATCGACAAAACCAGGTCAATCTTTGAGGAAATGCCCTCAGCAACGCCAATCAATCCCATAGTCCCCACAATCGACATAGCCCCCTTCCTCCTCGATCCCTACTCCCCCTCCGGTCAAGAAGTCATCTCCTCCGTCCGCTCGGCCTGCAAGAAGACCGGATTCTTCCAGGTAACAGGCCACGGACTCCCCGAAGAGCTCCAACGCGCTCTTTTCCGTGCAGCAGCGCGCTTCTTTGCCCTCTCCCTCGACGAAAAAAGCAAACTTGACGCGCGCACAACCATCGGCCGCCGGGGGTATGACGTTCTTGCATCGCAGACGTATGATGCCGGTGTCTTGCCGGATCTTAAAGAGGGATTTTATGTTGGGCATGACGTCCCGCTAGACGATGAGAAAGTTCTAGCCAAGCGCTTCTTCATGGGACCGAATGTATGGCCCGAAGAGACTGTTTTGGGCGCAGATGCATTTCGGGACCATGTCGAGGCATATTTCAGCGCCATTCATGCACTTGCCTTGAAAGTACTGGATCTTGTTGCTCGGACGCTACCATATTACTGCCCTGATATCTTTGCGGATTTTACGACAGGTCATACGGTTGCTGTTCTACGCATGCTGCATTACCCCCCTACCCCTCCTCAGTCTGCATCGCCAGACAAATATGGCAAGAAGATACCACGGCAATACGGCGCAGGGGCGCACACCGATTTTGGCGCCATTACTCTGCTCCTCCAAGACGGGCATGCAGGACTCGAAGTGCTCGACCCGGTCACCTCCGAGTTTGTGGAGGTGAACCCCTCGCCCAGCGCGTTTGTCTTTAATGTCGGCGATATGCTTTCGTTCTGGACCGGAGGCGAGTATAAGAGCAGCGTGCATCGGGTGATCAACAAGGCGCCGACAGACCGGTATTCGGCGGCATTTTTCTACGATGGCGCGTTGGATTGCCCATTGGTGCCACTGGATGGCAGCAGCCAAGGAACAACTGAGGGGGGAGTCTATACAGTGGAAAAACACATGATCAAGAGAATTAGCGAGAGTTATGCGGCCGGTAAATAGTTGTACTTCCTGTGATGCATTAGTGCATACAGATCTTTGATTTTGCAAAACGTGTCTGGGTCATATATCAATTGATGTACAGAGGCACTGGCATTCCACGGCCAATTACAGAACCGAAATATAAATAAACCTTGTCTAGTGCACTTGATTCGTTGTCAAACACGACAAAAAACCCATACACTACAGAAAAGCAGCCGAACCAACACATTCAAAAGGACCCGACTCGGTAGGTTTACGGCAGGCGATCTGCCGGGCAGAGCATTATTCAATCTTTGGCTGGAGTTGACATGGATGTCAGGTTGGAGCTAGATTCATATCCAATATGTTAGGTTGTTTCTCGTCAACTTGCCTTCTGATTTTGTTCGACCCTCTCAACTACCTCTGACCCTTGGTAGAGTAGAATAAGAACCGGCTGAAAATGGCCACCTCCAAAGCCCCTCAGCCTGTCGAACAACATCAGGATGAAATGCAGGCTGTTGAGCCGCCAAAGGCAACAGCCCCTGGTGTCCCTGAGATTAGGTATCCTGACTTCCTACTAGCGTCCATCTTGTACTTGGCCTTGCTCTTGGCCATGTTTCTCGTGGCATTGGACATGGTGAGTGTGAAGCTGAAATTACGATCAAATACTCCAGCTAATAAGAGCAGAGCATTATCGCAACAGCCATTCCCACCATCACCAAACAGTTCCATGCAGTCGATCAGGTGGGCTGGTATGGCTCCGCCTTTTTCATGACACTGGCCGCATTCCAGTCCTTCTGGGGCAAAGCGTACAAATACTTCCCATTGAAAGTCGTCTTCCTGCTATGTATTGGCCTGTTTGAAGTCGGCAGTCTGATTGTCGCCGTTGCAGAGAATAGCGTGACTGTGATTGCCGGACGCGCGGTTCAGGGTCTCGGTGGTGCTGGTGTCACTGGTGGGTGTTATACCATCTGTGCGTTCATCACTCGACCAAGGTTGTTGGCTACCATGCTTGGGATGTTTAGCGTGGTTTGGAGCTGTTCGTCTGTGCTTGGCCCGGTGCTGGGGGGAGTCTTCACCCAGGATGTTTCGTGGAGATGGTGTTTCTGGGTCAATTTGCCTGTTGGTGGTACGACAATGATCATCATCTTGCTGTTTTTTAAAACACCCCCGCACTCTCGTGTTGCTTCCACTACTTGGAGAGAGGTGCCTGTGCTTTTCGACCTCCCCGGCATCGTCGCTCTGCTCGGATCGTTGATTTGCCTGCTCGTGGCGCTGGAAGACGGTGGTGTTACGAAACCGTGGAATAACAGCGTCCCCATCGGCACGCTGATCGGTTTCGGTTTGTTGGCTATTCTGTTTGTGTTCATCGAATGGAAACAGGGTGAGCGGGCAATGATTGTGCCACGCATTATGAGGCGGCGAACAATCTACACTCTCGCTTTGTTTAACGTGTGCGCGCAAGGTGGTGGGTTTGCGAGGACGTACAATTTGCCCGACTACTTCCAAGCTGCTCAGGGGGTTTCAGCCTCCGAATCCGGAATCCGTACTCTGCCTACGGTCTTGACTGTTTGTATGTCCCTACCAACAGCAAACTCCGCGCTACATGCAATTTTGTTCCTAACGGGTGCATAGCAATCTTCAGCTTAGCTGGCTCTATACTACTCGGAAAGGTCGGCTACTACCAACCGTTCCTTTGGGTCGGCGCAACTTTCATGACGGTCGGTGCAGGTATGATATACAGTCTTGTCCCCAGCTCTCCGGCAGCACATTACATAGGGTATCAAGTCCTAGCAGGCATTGGGACAGGGCTAGTGATTCAACTTCCTGTTATTGTGGGACAGGCGATTGCCCAGCGTTCAGATATGGCTGTTACCATCGCTATTTCGCTCTGTGGGTTTTCTTTCATCCAGAGTTGTTTCATTGATACGGCTAATGTCTAACGACAAATGCAGTCTACCAGTTCATAGGTGGCACAATCGGTGTCTCTGTGGCCCAAAACATCCAGAATCACGTACTGATAAACTCGTTGCCCACGAACAACCCCAACATCACCGCTGCCAAAGTGATGGAAGCTGGATCGACCGGGCTGCGTCTTAGTTTCCCCGACCCGGCTGATCTCCAGATTGTGGTGAACGCATACATGAGTGGACTGCGCGCGGCGTGGATCTGGACAATTGCGCTTTGTGGATTGGCATTTTTGATCTCGTTCACAACCGAATGGAAGAGCATTAAGCCAGAAGATCTGAAGAAAAAGGCGGAGAAGAAAGCGGTCGATGGAGCTTAAGCCTGATTCTATTAAAGAATGGGTAAAATGGCTACATAGTTCAACTGAATATTTAGACCAGTGGAAATGGCTATGCAGGTTATTGGTTGAACGGGGAGGGAAGTTCTATGGTAACATCACATATATGGACACTAATATTACACACTTGATACTTACGTTAAATGGTACTTAAGTGGTCCGGGTGTCAATTGTCAAGATATTTCACATGGCCTGCATAGAAGTAGCCGGGCTATACAGCTGTAGCTACTACTAGTAATAGCTGATCGGGCAGTTTATAATACAAAAGTTTTCGCCGAGAATTGAGACATAAGTATCAGAAACATCCATATACGCCTTCCCTCGGTTAACGTGGACAGCCTACAGATACATATATGCAAAAAGACAGACAGCAATGCCGTCCCCACTAACCCACCTGGCAGAGCAACTGCTCGAGAGTGCTAAAGCCCTCGACGCATATAATGAAGTCAACGGCCTTGAACCTGCATCCTTCGAAACAGAATCCTTCACTGATCTGCCAGTGGCAGTGGAAGCCCAACGCAAGAAAACCATCGATCTGGCGCAGGATTTGAAGCGGCTCGCTCAAGGGCCTCGTGATTTGCTTTTCGAATCATTGAATTTGGTACCTGCTTCTATTTGGTTCGTCGTCTGTATGTAATAAATGGCTAATAGGATAGTTTAATGATCTGGCCAACTTCCACTTCATCTACCACTACAACATCCCAGGTCATGTCCCCGCGAGCGGCGACATATCCTACACGGAACTAGCAACTCTCCTCGGCTTTGACGAAATCCTCCTTCGACGAATGCTCCGTGTCGCTATGATGAACCGTCTGTTTATTGAAACCCCCTCAGGCGACCATGTCAGGCATTCCGCAGCCTCCCGGATCTTACACCAGGAACGAGCCGCAATGGACACATGCGGATTCTTCCTGGAAGAAATGTTCCCTGCCGCAACGAGGATGGTCGAAACGATGAAAAAGTACCCAGCCTCGGGCGAGCCGAACGAAACAGCGTTTAATGTTGCTTTCAACACCAGCCGTCCGTTTTACCTCGAACTAGAGGCCTACCCCGAGCGTGCGAGACGGTTTGGAGCCGCTATGCGTTGGATGTCCCGTGGCGGCCGCTTCTCGAATGACCATCTCATTCGCGGATACGATTGGGCTCAATTTGACCACGAGGGTGGTTTAATGGTTGATGTTGGTGGAGGCCATGGGACTGTCTCTGTTGCACTCGCTAATTTCACCTCGAACATGCGTTTCATCGTGCAAGATTTGCCCACCACCGCGTCCCAGGGCGCGGATTCACTACCCGTCGATTTGAAGAATCGTGTCTCGTTCATGCCGCATGATTTCTTCGCCCCACAGCCTGTAGTAGGAGCCGATGTGTATTTCTTTCGGTACATATTGCATAATTGGTCAGATAAATATGCCGAGCGCATTTTGAAGGGTCTAGTACCGTCACTTAAGGATGGGGCTCGGATTGTTTGCTATGAGTTCTTGCCGGGAAATTCTTCAACAACGGCTTGGAGTGAAAAGCAGCCGTAGTAAGTGTCTTGCTTTCCATATTTGGACAATGGACTAACAAGGAAAAGCAACATGGATATGATTCAAGCCATTGGATGGAATTCAATTGAGCGCACTTCGTCTGATTGGGAACGGTTGTTCAAGTCGGTCGATAGTAGATTGCTGTTTTTGGGCGCGAGAACGCCTCTTGGATGCTCCGTTTCTCTTATCGAGGCTCGGTTCTTACTAGAATGATGCATAAATAGGACGGATGTATTTGAATCGGGCCAGACTAGGTGATAGGCAAACTAAAACCTACCGAATCGTCATGGTTTATCGTGATTCGTACTGCTTTTAGATTATTGACGTCTTTAGCTTTGTAGTTGGCAATACCGTACTCCCCCCAAGGAAGCTCAACCATCAGTCACGCACGCTATTGCAACCACAGATGGATAACATACCATCTATCGACACTCACTCCGGTCTCCACCTCCCACGTCTCCTTTTTCTCCATGGCGGTGGTACATCCGCCCGAATTTTCCGTCGCCAATGTCGCACCTTAACCCGGGCTCTAAGTCCATTTTTCCGCGTCGTCTTCGCGGACGCTCCTTTCCGTTCCGAGCCTGAACCGGCCATCATACCCGTGTATGGTCGTTATGGCTCCTTTCGACGATGGCTGCGATGGTCACCCGAGCACGCTCCCATCAACGGTCCAGATGCAGTTGCCGCGATTCAAGATAGCCTTTGCGAGGCTATGGCAGAGGATGATTTGGCTGGCGGAACCGGCGCGTGGGTTGGCCTAGTTGGGTTTAGCCAGGGTGGGAAAATAGCTGGGAGTGTCCTATATGAGACACAGATGCGGGCAGCCCAGGGACGAGCAGGGTTCGCTGGGGGGAGCTGGAAGTTTGCGGTCATGTTGGCGGCTCGGGCGCCACTTGTTGCGCTGAGTGAGCTCACGTATGATCAGGATACGTTCGACTTACCGGGAAGTATTTTGTCGCCGCCAGATGTTGGGGAGTTGTCAAGGAACAAACATCGCTTGACGATGCCCACGGTACATGTCCATGGCTTGCAGGATCCGGGGTTGAGATTCCATCGGATTCTCTTGAACGATTTTACCACGTTGAGAAGTGCGGAGGTGGTGGAGTGGGATGGAGATCATCGAGTACCGGCCAAGAGCACCGATGTTGCCGGCGTTGTGCAGGCGACGCTCAGGGCTGCTAAGGTATGTCTACTTTTCTGCTCGAATAGCCAGCGCTAATGTATTTCAGAAGGCGGACATTCCTCAGTTCAGGTGGTATTAGAAGAGAGAATCCGATGGAGTTTCGTGTTCATTGACTGATGTATGTCCCTGTAGTTAGTTTATGGGTCCAGGTACATAATAGAGATGCTAGCTATAACTAATAAGGAAAGTATCCTTATTTATAACAAATTATACCTCGGCGACGAGTTAGAACATAAAGTTTTGATGAATAAAACAGTAAAGTATGACATGAGGTTTCTCAAACGCTAAGCAATCTATGAAGATGTCTATTTAATGTCTCTCGTCAGTCTGTCTTCCGTTTCTCTCCCGGTCTATCCCCCAGAAACAATGTGAGAAATTAATAGTAGGTATTGTATAACTTATTGTCGGATTTGATTGGAATCCACTACATACCGGATATGTACAGTTTTCCTTGCTATCTCCGCGCTATTTAAGCCAAATCGGGTAGGGGATTTCATGGAAATCCGTCGTTATATATATACATAATGTGCGCGCACATCATCAGATAGAAGAAGGAAAAGAAAAGAAAATTTCATGTCTACCATCAGAGTAAACCCACGGGCCACAACTCACAATCACTCTATAAAGTACCATGCAACTCATAGAGCCCCATGTCGCTTACCGCACCCTAACCTGCTCGTTACCTAGTTCGTGATATATTGTCTGTGGTACTGGCGAGACGATGTATGAGGGCTTTCCTATGCCTTGACAAGTCAGCTCCTTCTTGCGTTGATTACGAAAGAGAATGCTCGGTACATGTCCCTATCCAGAATGACCCATTCTGCCACTCGCACAACCCATTGGACAGACAGTAGTAGCCATCACTACAGCAGAACGTGTAATCGCTCCCTGTTGTGCATGGCGTGTTGTCATCCACTGTTCCGTCCTCAGTATGGCAGGTTGCCGCTGCCTGGACGCCATGGAGGGGACTGAGCACATGTAGCAAAGCGAAGAAAAAGGTAAGAAAACACACACTATAATCCATGGAATTGGCGGGATTCGAAACGGTAGGGCAGGGGAGTTAAAAGGTATTGTATTCATCGGGCTGCTGAGGAAGGGTAGCAAGAATCGATCAACGGAGAGAAATCACCCTCGGCGTTGGAGACATGCACAGGAAGATATTGGCATCGACTATATTTTCCTATCTCAATTTTTGAAATGCCAGTGTCCGTTTGTCGTGTCCGTTTGTAAATAATGTGGCTGAACAGGCCCTCAAGCCCAGGCAGCCATACATATTGGCCTTTCTCCAATATCAGAGACTCAAATTGGAGTAGGAAGAAACAAGGCACGAGGAATCATCTTATCACCGGCCATTCATTATGGTGCCAGGGCTATGTTCCCCGACTCAGCTTACGCCGTTGCCGACTCGCGTATGTTGCAGCGCCTTGAGATCAAGTATCGATTTTGAATTTGATTGATTGGCACATACCTACACCGTAACTAATACCGATACGTTAGGGCCATTTATTGTATGCCTGACTTGACGATTGGGGCTTAATCTTGAAACAATGAAGATGCTATCGATTGCTAGGTGATTGGTCGGGAGAATTTGTGACGTATGAAGGCGTATATGTATTTATAGTCTTCTGCATAACTGTCTGCAGCAAATCAGCGTTGCGAGTGTTCAAGGATTTTCTAACAAAAAAAATTTATTATTTGCTGTGCTGTTCTTCATCCTTTCTTCCATCTACTGTAATTGATTGGCCGACTATTGGCCGCTTTGAAACATCCATTATGCATATTGCCTGTCAATAGTGATTCTCAGCCTTTTTTCGCTTGTGTTTGTGGTTCAGATCAAAAGGATATACCAGGTTTATTGATTGTCGACTGTGCATTCTCTCATCAACTATTGCAGTTATCTTTCTATCATTAGTTTACGTTGAACCAAAGGATAGTTTAGGGTTACGGCTAACAAAGTTCTTAGAAGCTAGAATGCATATAGTTAGCTCTGTTTATAGTTTAGGAGAAATTAATATCATAGTTTATTTTTATTTAAAGCTCTTTTATAATTATTATTTTCTAGATTTTTTTATATTAATATATTTTTTCTCTCTTTATAGATGTCTTACTCTTATAATCTAACTAGATCTTTTAAATTAATAAAAGAATCTAACTTTTTATTCTATCTTTATATTTTTACTTAATAGTAGATAATTCTTTATATTAAATATAGTTTATACTATATCTATTATAATCTTTCTCAATATCTTCTTTAAAAATATTATATTAAATAATTCTAGCAATAAAATATTAAATAATATTTCTAATATTATAGTATTATTAATAATTTAGATAAAATAATTTAATTCTTTAATAATATTACTAAAATTTATAATCTTTTTATTAATTTTAACTTTCTTTATTATATAAAGTACTATTATTATTATTTCTATAGTATTAGTTATATATAATAATATTATAATTAGAAATATAAATAGAGAAAGTCTTAAGAATTAATATTTTAATATTATATTTATCTTTAAATCTTATTTTAAAAAAAAGAATAGATCTAATACTTTATTATTATTTTAATTTATTTAATTATACTACCCACCATCTTTTTATATCTTTATTTATTATATATATATCTATATACTAATATATCTAAATATTAAGCTTTATTCTCTTTTACTATTATTAATTATTTATTATCTCTGAAAGTATTTCTAAATAAATATTATATAATCTAAAATTAGGATTTCTTTTTATATATTATCTAAAATAGCTAATATATCTTTAAAATTATATTCTAATTATAAATTATAAGTATTTATACTTATCTTATCAAAGTAAACTTTAATATTATTAAAGATCTATATTAACTCCTAGAATTAGAAAAAACACTATTATTATTTATTTATTACTATATAAACCAACTCTAAAGATAGACTAAGTAGCTTCTCTATTATAATTATATATTATAATTAAGTTATTAAAACACCCAGTTTATTAATATATTTTCTTATAAAGAGATCTTATAAGATCTAATCCAGCTACTATAAAATATCTAGAGCTAAATATAGTATATTTAGATCTAATAAAAGCTTATTTATTACTAAAGCTAAGTTATAAATAATTATATATTATCTATCTTATTATTTTAATCTACTAAGAGCTAATTAATTATCTAGAATAATATAATAAATATAGTCTAGAAGCTTGATAATTTTAATAGATTAAAGCTAGATTATATAGAGATCTTTAAATATAAATAATAATTAAAGGAATAGATTCTTTATTTTTATTTAATAATTATTTAATAACTAATTTTATTTTAGATTTTTAATTTTATTTTTATATTCTTTACTACATTTTTCTTTTAAAGCCTTATCTAGAAATAATAAATAATAGTTAATAACTATATCTCTTTTTTATTATAACTAATTTATAGTAGTTAAATTTAGATCTTTACTCTTTCTATCCTTAAATATTAGTATTATCTAGAGATTAATCTAACTACTATTATTATTAAATATTAAAATTACTAGCTATTAAATAATATTTCTAGATCTATAACTAAATTATTAAAGAATTATCTTTATAAATTCTAAATTAAGATAACTAAAATACCTTTTACATAAGTATAATAAAATTAGAAAAGCTAGATTATTATTTTTTAAAATATAAGCCTATTCTTATCAGAATTATTTTAATTTATATAGAAGAGAATCTTCTAAATAATAATAATCTTTAAGTAAGAGCTTTATTTTTTAAGTCTATTCTAATCTAGAAAGAAGATTTCTTAATTCTATTTAGATAGGCTAGTAGATAATTAAGATATTATAAAGATAAGAGCCTTCTTTCTTATTAATATCTAGAACTATATCTATATCTACTCTTATTAGAAATAATTTTTTCATTATATTAATTAAAATCCTATATTATTTCTTCTTTTCTAGATCTAGGATATAGACTAGATCTAATAGATTTTATATAATATAGAAGAATAATATAAAGCTATAATTTAGTACTTTTTAAAGATATTAATAATATTATTCTTTATTAAATTTAATTAATAGATATAATAGACTAAGTTTTTAGAGATTTACTAATAGAATATTCTATTTTATATATAAGATCTCTTTTTTTATAATAACTAGATATTATTTATTCTAAATTATTATAAGATCTACTATTATAGTAATGCTTTTTACTGGTCTACTTAGTTCCTTTTTTTAAAGATAATCTAGTTAGTAATTTAATACTTAGTTTTAATTATATTCTTTTAATAATAATTAGACTATAAAGTCTATTAAAATTATTTTTATATATCTACTTCACTTTGCAACTATTTATAGATATTTAATATTACTTTATAATTAGAGAATTATTTTATTAAAATAGTAATTTAGATTAGATAGTAGATTCTTAGTAAATAGATTTATATTTATATATAATACTAGATTATAATTAAGATTATAATTAAGAAGTTTAGGACTCTTATATTATAATTTATTAAAAATTTTTTTAATAATAAGAATAATAACTAAATTAAGGACTATAATAATAGTATAGTTATTATTTTTTTATTATTAAATTATATACATGTTATATATTGATAATTAGATGTATAAAGATACTATTAATTTCTAGATTAATTTTATTAATACTAGTCTTTAAGAATTCTAGTAAACTAGTAAAACTTAGTATTAATTAATTTAATAACTTTTCTTATATACTACTCTTAATCCTTCTAAGAGACTATAACCTAGTTTATTACTTATCTTATCTTCTTATAAACTAGGGCCTGCTATAGAATAGAAATAAGATAAAAGCCCCACTAAATAAGTTTAGAGTTAGATAATAGAGTTAATTCTTATTTAATAATTCTATTATTATTAAAAGCCTTAACTTATATAAAGCTAATAGATAATAAAGTAAGTATAGTCTATCCTAAAATAAATATATAATCTAGAAATATAATATTAATCTATCTATTAATATTAAGTATTTAAATATATTCTTTAAAACTTAAATAAAATAATTATAGTACTCTAAATAAATAAAAATAAAAATCTACTCTATCTTCTATCCTATTAA